TGGAAGTCAGATTATCTTAAATAAGTCCAAAAGACAAAAAAAGTTCAAGATACTCAAAAATAGAAAGAAAATGCTAATGCCAGTTATGTTTTCTTTTCAGGAAATAGAACCAGTATTTAAAAAATTTGTATAATTAATGACAACAGAAAACACTTAAAGTCACAATTTTTGACTGAGATTAGAAGTATGTTGGTAAGAAACAGGTGAGAGACAGCATCTGCATCAGTGGGACATGAGCAAGATCTTTAACAAGCCGATGTTATTCAAGTAAGAAAATGGAAAATAAACATTTATAGCATTCAGTTTGTTAACATCAATTTTATTAGTGATTATGGAAGTTAGGAAGTATTTATTATCCCATCTCATTTTCAAATTTTTGTAATAAACACTGATTTGTAGTCTGAAGCTCAGGAAAAGATGAAACTATAAAAGCAAAATATCCCCTTTTCAGGGAATACAAACAATACCCAAGGAATTCATTTCTTTAACTAATACAGTGTCAGATAAGTATGTCATTTCACAAGGAAGTCATTCTTTGAATGCTTCTCACTTGAGTTCAAAATAGGTCAATATGTAGCTGAAGAATAAGAAGTCTTTCCTTTGGTCATTTTGAAGGAGATTATTATACCAGAAAAAAAGACCAGAAGCCAGGTGCCTTCACAGAAAGTTCAAAATGTTATAATTTCTTTTAATAAAGAGGGTGTTCTGTTTATTTTTTTTGTTTGCTTGGTTTCTTTTCAATATTTTTAAAAGTTGAAAATGAATTGTGTATGAAACAAGTTTTTGTCATGTATCCATCCCTTAGTAGGATGTCACTGAAACTACTGAAAAGCATGACACTACAACTAAGCAATTTTGTCTCCTGCAATTTAATGGCTTAAAGCGTAAACATCTCTAAAGGAGTTTATTCATCACTGAAGAGCATCAGGACAGCTCAGTAGTTTTAATGGTGATGTACATCTTCAGATATTCTTAGTTGCATGTCTGCTACTCAGTCCATGACTAAAATTAAAGGAATTGGGCTCAAGAGATGAGTTGTACAGAGAAGCACAGTAGAAAGCTGAGGCTGGAAATACCTTTAGGTACTTTTAGGAGAGGAATATACAGAAGGCTAAGACTGTGCGTGTAAAACTGATTGGTCATTGGAAGTTCGTAGATCCAAATTTTTTCAGAATGATTCTGGAATGGGGATGGCAAAGAATAAAGACGTTTGAGGGATGACTGAGTTGATGAGAGCCTTGAATATACACTTTCTTTTCTATCTTTTTTAGAGCAGATGGATTAACCCACGGTTTCCTGAAATGTATATTCTTGAGTAATGTTATAGGCACCAACAACTGAACACCATCAAGTATACCTGATGGTAGATTTTTGAAAGTGACTTCTGGTAATGCAGTTTTCAAAAAATGAAAATCTGAATAGAAGAAAAAGTCATATATTACATTGGGAAGAAAGTATTTATGACTTTCTGATTGCCATTAGTGATATATTCAGATAAATGTTAATGGGAGGTTACTTAAAAGGAACTTATAGTATGGTCTTGGCATTTTGTATTATGGGGTCATATGGCATGGTCTTTGCATCTACACAAAGAGCTTTTCAAAAAATGTAGGGGAATGTTGTTAAGTATAGCAAGACATCTTTATTTTACTTGGAGAAACTGAGATGGTATTAAGTTGTGGGTAACATTATTTTTGAAAAAAAAAAGGAGTGGTTTCTAATTCTAGAGATGAATGTTAAGATCTCTGTTAAAATCTCTTTTCTTTATAAGTTAAAAAAGCGCAGTATCACAAGAATAATTTTGCCAATTATAAAGTGGACTAATATTGAGGGTCTGTGACTTATCAGTGGAGTAAGAGTACTAGGAAGGGCACTTCAGTCCTTATAGTAAAGCTTTGTGTGTGCGAAGATAATTTTTGAAATGTTAAACATCAGATTCTTAAATACATAGAATTCATTATTTGTATCAGATTGTAAAGAGCATTGAACTAAAGAACTCTCCAGATTTGTCCCTTAAGAGTGTGTTATGTGTTTGCTTAGTATGGCTTCCAGTTCTGATGCCTAATTGAAAGCCTTGTCTATTCAGAAAAGCTGGGTCACCATATCTTACATTGCAACGTATGTCCTAATTTGCTACCACTTTTTCTTATGAGTACAAGTAGAAACAATTAAGGAAGTAAAAAAAATGAGGAAAAAAATGTAGCTAGTTAGGGTTATGTTTTGCAAGTCATAAATAATTCTGCATATCTTGTTTTCTAGTAAAGACTGTCAATTGTTTTTGGAAGCTGTTCAACTCATCAGTCAGTATGTGCAAGCATAATGCTTTTGGCATTTTGCTGCCAGTCCAGAAGATGGCAGATCTTTTGTAGATCGTGTGAACCTAGCTTGGACATCTCAGAATCCTGCGATGTTTGAAACAGAACTCAGTGTCTACACATGTGCGCTTGAACTGATCCATGGTATTTGGTTTTGGATGAGGCTACACTGACTTCATTGTCTGTATCTCATTTGATTGAAACACCCTTTCGTTCAAAGTATAGGTGTCTCTGAAGTTTAAAATCGTACAGGTTTTTGTTGTTGTTGTTGTTTGTTTTGTTTTTGTACTGATTGGTTTTGTTTGATGGGAGTCAGGTAGCATAGTCCTACTGTCAGGATTCGAACATAGTAACTTCTTTTGCTTCTTTGGTGTCTCACGCAGACTTATTTATAGAAAATTCACAGAAGATATAAAAAAATCTGGTCGAGTTATTTAGGAACACATTTTTGCACGTTTCCTTCGTTGAGGAACTTTGAAGTGAAGCCACTGTAAATGTAAAGTTAATATTTTACCACAGATAGAGTCCTTATTTTATACACAAAATCTGTAGTAAGAGAGAATGCTTTTATATTCAGCACTGTTAGTTTATCACTCTGACTTGTTTGAGCTACAGAGTATTTCAATATCCTATTAGCAAAATTTCCATTTCTTATTGCAGCTAGTTTTGATAAAGATGAAAAATTGGTGTAGACTGTATATAAAAATGAGTTAAATTATTCAATTAATACATTCTGCATAGTTTAATCCCATTTTTTTCTTGGAGTTAAAGGGCCTTCTAGAAATGTATTGATAAAGCCAGTGTATTTAGTTTTCTCATAGAGTTTGTCTGCTGTGTCATATTATGTGTGAATAAAACTCATTATGTTTTGTTTGCACAATAATTATATTTTGTTGTCCTGTAAATTCCTTTTGCTCTCTCCATCTCATAATGTGTGCTGTAAAAGCACACATAAATAAATAGGATAAACAAATTAAGCTGTTTAAATAAATTAATTTACTCTGCAGCTTTGTATTCAAATCTTACATGCTCACTGGATTTCATTTTAATGAAACCCTTCTAAGAACAATGCGTTGTAAGCCAAACAGTGAAATTATATATTAAATTAATGATTAAATATACCGTGTTCCAATTTATACCAAATCTGTATGCTGTGCATGCTTAAATCCTCCTAAATCTAAAGAAATAAATCTTCTACATTTGGAAAGCATCTGTGTTATAATCCTCCTCTTGAATACCCAGTTCATGGATACATAAACACAATCATAGTCAAAATAAGCCTAGAGCTATGATGCAGTTAAACTATTCTCATCAATGTTTTTGACTTAAAAACCTGAGACTATTAACTAATTAAACATTTTGAAGCACTGTTCTGAAAGGTCTTCTACTACTGCATTAGTAGGCCCATTGAATTCCTTTGCAAATTTAACAGACATTTATTGGAAATCTTACCTAGAACAAATCTATTGATTACTGCAAATAGTTATGCTGCTAAGTGTCATAGGAATGCATTCAACAGAATTAATATTCATCTTACTAGTGTGCATGAAGAATAATTACTGTTGTAAAATCAATGTCCAGTGTGAGGAGCATGATGCTCTTTTCAGAAAAACACTTTAAAGACATTTGTAACTGGAAGTTTTAATACATGTTATTGAACATACAAAGTGCATTATTTTGTTACTGAAAATTTTTGGTGAGTTGAATGTATACTCTTTTTCTTCATTTCTTTCGTTAGAAGTCAGAATTGCTACTTAAAAATTATCTGTTTTTTTAATTACTTGACCGAACCAACCTAACTCACCTATTTTAGCCAACTGCAGGGAAAGATAGAGGTTTTTATCAAAAAGGACTGTTCTGAACTGTTGTTCATTATTTCGTTCAAAGTTCTGTGTAACTGTTGGATAAATCACTCTGGTGCATGCTGACATCACGTAGCAAAAAGTGCAGTCTGAGCCATCACTTCCGTCATGCTGTGACTTTCAAAATCAAAGGATGTCTTGAAGTGCATTGTAGCTCCTCCCATCTATTAAGACATGCTTTCCTCTGGATAGAAGAATGATGGTAGGCGTTTTTTCTCATTTTGAAGAATTGATAAGGCCAAAGTTGCAAAACGCTCTTAGAATAAGTATTAGTTAATTCTTGGTTTGTGTTCTACCATTTGGAAGACAGACTCTGGTCTGGTATTCTTTATGATCCATGGCGGTTCTTTAAAATCTCTTTTCTCAAAAAGTCCTTTGATACTAAGTTAAGGAATAGAATTAATCAGGAGTTAAAACAGCAGTGTCTGGTCTTTATTTATTTAGTAAAGTACATTATTTTACATCCCGGAAGGCTAATGTCTGTAGGCTAGTAAACAAAATGTATATTTCCAATTCAGCAGCACACTGATTTAAGTGACTAAAATAAAACCCAAAAGCAAAGCAAAACCTTTATTTTTGTAAGTAGTCCAGAAGGCAATTTAAAATCCTGACAGCATGAGCAGCTTTCACATTGCATACTAACATGAGTTTTGAGTCCTAAAACTGTAAAGTTTCCTTTGAGAATACTCTGCAAATTCTGGACACCTCAATGGAAGAAAAAAATAGGTTTTGATTTAGGATGTATGTACAGTTTAGGGAAATGATCCTTGGAAGCCAAGTTTTAACATGCCTTTTTTTAAAACTTATTTTTCATGGGGTATAGGAACGTGTTCCAGACAGCCCTTCTCCTGCTCCTTCTCTTGAAGAGGGCCGAAGACCTGGCAGCCACCCATCCTCTCATCGAAGCAGCAGTGTGTCCAGCTCTCCTGCACGGACTGAGAGCTCTTCAGACAGAATCCGTAGGTCACATTGTTCTCCTTGTTAACACTTTAAATTTGATTAGGTGCAGCTGTTTTTTTCTAATCAAAATGCCCTCATCTTAAATAGATCTCACAGGTATCATGTTCAGAAGTTCAGCTGCAATATCTGTTTCCCAACGTCACGTTCCCCAGTTTGCAGTATCATAATACCTGATGCTACATTACCAGGTACTGATATAAACTGCCATCATGTTGTATTAAACATAAAGATACAAGATACAAATTACAGCCAGGAACCAATTTGCTAGATTAGTTTTTAGTACTGAACATATAGTTGTAAGTCTTTTTTACTTAAAGTTTTATTTAATTTGGCTACTCTAGTTTGACTTCTGAAATGAATCTGGCTTCATAAGCAGCATTTTACATCATAGAATTACTTGGGAAAAAAAAGAAGAACAAGTGTAAATAAATTTAAAATATGTATACTTTATAAGTTCTTAAAATGTAGAAACTTGTAATGGTGAGAATTGATACAAAGAATGTTATTACCTCATAGTTCACATGGAATGGAGTGAAATTTAACCACAATTTCGCAGAGCAATACCATTTTTATTAAGGCCCTAGGTTTGGGATGTAATTTATGTGACAGAAACAGTGGGCTCTATATTATTCCAGGTTAGGATCCGATGTTTAAAGTGCCTATTGTTTTAGGATATTTAATTTACATTGAACTGATCAATTTCCTTTGCTATTGCTCAACTGCAGTTTTTTATGCTTTCAAAGCATCTTTCCATAGTGGAATTCTTCAGCAGGTAGAACTGGAGGATTTAGCATATAAAATGAAGACTACAAAATAGCTATGAAGTAGCTATATATATATATATAGACGTATTGATTAGATGCAAACATGAGCTTTCTAGACTGTTTCCATTCAAACTCTGCATTCAGAAAGTTAGTTCTTCACTGACTTTCAGATGAAACATCTGTCATTACTTTATGCTGAAAAATGAGTTACCAAAAAAAATAAATGAGGCCTGACCATGACAAGCAGAGAATTCTGTTTTCTTATCACTTGGATAATTGAGAGTGTAGATTAGACTAGTATCCCATATACTGTGATCTATTTCCCTATTTTTTTATGAATTCGTAAGTGAAATACTAAAAAATAAATACTTTTTTTTTCTTTTGAGTTATATATTTATTACAACTAGTAAATGTCTTTTTTAAAATAAAAAAGTAAACAGAAAGATTACTATTGTTTTTGCAGTGGAATTAAACTTTTTTTTTTTTTTTTAAGAAGTGTCTTTTTCCTTTAGTTTTATCTGCTTACCTACCAGCAGGCAAGAGTGGAAGCTCTGCCTGTTGTTTCTCCCAGTAGTGATCATAACAAAGTTCCTTAAATACAGGGTCACTTCAGTAACTTACTGAAAGAAACAATCCTTTTCTCTCCTATCCGGTTTGTTGTCGTCACAGCTGATTCTTAAGAACATCTGCTTTTGTAACACCAGCAAGAATGACTACTACAGAAATGAGTTACCTATGAAAAAAGGTTGTATTGAAAATGGGCTAAGCCTGTTGCAAATGCAATTTTTAGGGATAATTTAGGGATGTAGTATACCTTCTGGGAGTTTCTGGGTTTGTGAGACTCTCGGAGCAGCTTTTGTAGATTTCTAGCTCTCTGATTTGCAAGTCTGATGTTGCACAATTTCTGAAAAACGGTGATTTCTTACCTGGAACACTACAACGCTTAATTTAGATAATACATAAAATAACTTGTAAAGCTAACTATACCCCATGCAATAAATGTCTCCCTTAGAACCTTTTGTTCTTTTGCTGACTGTTTTGACTGGGATTTCAGTTCTTGCTAAATAAGCAAGGAAATATCCAACTGACCCAAGAAATACTGAATTCTCATTTTTAAATTGACCTGATTTTAGAAAGGTTTAACAAGAAGAAACTGGCTCACAGTCTATATGCTGATTACACTAATTAAGTAACCTTATGACTACTAGATTTTTTGAGTAATTAAGAGGGAGAGTAGGTAAAATAATTAGAAATAAATATTTTTAACGTAATAATTGATTTTATTTCTGTGTGTGCTTGTGTCTAGCAGCTGTCCATCAGAATGGGCTATCTATGAACCAAATGCTGATGGGTTTGTCACCTAATGTCCTTCCTGGGCCTAAAGAAGGTGATCTGGCTGGTCATGACATGGGACATGAGTCAAAAAGAATACACATTGAGAAAGGTAATATGAATATTAGTACTTCACTGTTTCACTTTTAAATTTTTTTTTTTTTTTTTTTTTTTTTTTTTTTAGTAGCTAAGTAATAATTGTGATTTACTTTATACTGTGCTTATTGTTGATGTTTCAGAAATTTAGTTACAAGAGAATGATAGCTTTCTGGATTCTTCTATTTTGTGGTCCTTGACATTAATGAACAATATTTATATAAGGTGGGAATTTCACAGATATTACAAAGGGGAGTGAGTGAAAAACAGTTTTGCAGTACTATTGTGTCTCTGACCCTTATACAAGACTGTTTAGGTATTAAGTTTCTGTCTCCATCCAGTTGACTTTAATGACCTACTTCCCAAAGGAACTGAGCACCGTGAAAATTAGTCCATGTGTGCAAAAAGAAAAAAGGCTAATACCAAGTCATTAAATTAGGGAATTGCATAAAATGAGGCTGGTACACATTATATAATGGGATTTAAATTTAATTGAGTATATGACCAAAGTGTTTGATCTAGGTGAATAGTCCACATGCACTTATACTGATTATGACACCATTTAATCTCTATTGGTATTCAAAGTTATGTTCTTATACAGAGTTGTTACAAGAGGTTTTGGAGGAGTGTTTGAATTTTAAAAGGTATATTTCATACATTATGTTTTCTAAATAGATACGAATTTTAAATATTATTAATGGACAAGAAATAGTCTGTTGGAGGGGAGGTGAGAAATAAGAAAAATCAATTGAAAAGGTATTTTGAAGCTTATCAGAAAAAAACAAACCAAACAATTAATTGAGAACAGTGAGAGAGAAAACAAAGTGTAACAGCCACATATTGAAACAGCTGCAGAAACTCTCTTCAGTGACAAAGATTTCAAAATATGACATTTTGTGTTGTATTTTACATTTTATCCGCTATGAGTTGATACTTGCTCTGCTTTGTGCTTAAACAGTAAAATATGAAAAAAAATTAATATCTGGACACTTCTATTCTGGACAGGTGGCATATTTAATAGGATTATCCCCCCAAAATTAATGGAAACATTTCTGTTATATGAACCATTTAATTTGGTTCATTGAACACACGACCTGTTTTAGCTTACACTGTGCCTTCACTCAGCCCCCCAAAATTGTATCCCTGCTGTGAAATATGATGTGATCAAATAGGTTTGTTTTAAATTTCCAGAAACGATTTTTTTTCAGCCTTTGAAGTTACTCATTGAAGTATAATCAGACTGGTAAATCTGGCAAAAAGAAGTACATAGTAAGAATTACTACTGTTTTTTCCATCATTAATTGTTTTTAAAAAAGGCTTTCTATAAGCAAAGCAGTGACATTCCAAATATCCAGGTAAAATTTTTTGCATGATCTGTTCTCAGCAAAACTGCTGAGAGTGCTGAGAAAACAGGTGTTTTTCTTTGTTTAGGACAATTCTTCTATTTTCTAGTTGATTTTTTTGTTGTTGGAGGCTTTTTTTTTTTATTGTTTTGTTTTGTTTTTCCCTTCTGTTTCAGCCTTTTGAATTAATAAGAAGTATGGGCTATCTAGATTGATAGGGTAAATTAAAATTTGTTTTCTGTCATGACTACATTTATCATGTCTCTTGTAGCAGTCCTGTAACTTTAATACTGATCTAATCTGTATAAAAACAAGTGATTTAGCTTATAGATATTCGTGGAGATAGTAATTATCTACTTCTGTCACTGTGAGCTTGCAATCTGATTTCCAAACTGTTGCTTACCACTGCAAATCAGTTAGAATGTAGTAATGTTAAAAAATAGTAACAAATGTGGATAGGCAGTAGTACTCTTAAAGTTGAAGACATCACCCTCATAACCTGGATCAAAAGAAAAAGAAATCAGAGGAAAACAGATATTCTGAATAAGTATCATGAGCATTTAAACATTATTTCATTTTCTTCTAAACAATTGTTGGCACGAATCTATCAGCTGCAACTACAAAATGGTTTTTAATTGAGCCTGTGAGAGCCTGGGAAATCCTGCTTGGTAGAAGGGCACTGCCTTTTCTCTTCTTGAACCTTCTTCCATTAAAACAAAACGAAAATAGTCAAAATATCTGAAGTGTTCAGAGCTTAAGGAAAAATTTACTGTCAACAGAGAAGTTAGAAAGGGGGGAGAAAAAATTATAACACAGACAGCTGATCAACATAACAGATTTGTAACGTTTTAGCGTAAGACAGATAGGCTAATCATCTTTCTCATCAGATCTACAAGTAATGTAAAAAAGAGAATGCTATTCAGGTTTTAAAGATTATATGTGTTTCTACTTAAATTCAGCCAGATTTATTCCCAGGGAATTAGTTTGTTTTCACTGGTTTTAGAGACCAGTAAATCACTCTTGAAGTTTTCTTTATTTTTAATTTGCTTTTAGACTTCAAAATATGTTCTCAGATTCTGGTGTGCCCAGCACTGAGTGACCTCAGCTTCCATTACAGACAGTTTTTCACTATCTCACCAAGAATCAAGTTAGGTTCTTTGGGTCTGATTCACTGCCAATATGTCAGTATTTGTTGCAGAAAATTAGGAATAGCTTCTGTTTTCAAAGACAATGTGTAAATGGTGGATGTTGGGAATATCTTCCAGCTACTGATTCCAAATACTGATTCCAACTTGCCCATTTCTTATCTTCATGGTGGGAAAAAACTCAGCATAGGCATATGAAGTTCCACTCACTTTCTGAGTTCCATGAGAAGAGAAGTTGGATCTGTTGAGTTGTGTTGTGTTTCATCCAGACTTCCAGTCTGAACTAAGGAGGACCTACAGGAGATGCTGCAGAGCACTTCTGCCTCACAGTTCATATAGAATTCAAGATGTTACTGTATGTCTGTAATAGTCAATTATTGTAGATTTCCAGTACTCTTTTTTCCTTATTAAAGGACAGTGGATTTTTTAAATTCACTGTAAGCAGGCTATAGAATGTATGCAATATTAGTTAAAGCACTTTACAGCCATCAAAGCCAAGTATCTGAGTTTGTAACCTATGATTTATTATAGGTTATAAAATAATTAGAGCTAAAAAGGACTTGTGAAGCGTAAGGATCCATTCAATTTGTTACCTTAAAATTAAGAGACTGAATCTTTTCAGGTACCATAAAGTATCTATGAACGTAATAGTTTGCACTGGATAGTCCCTAAATTTCTGCTGAGGTATATTGTATTACTCAGTTCTTAGGTAGATTCTTGTTACTAGTACTAAGAGTGAAAGTGCAGAACTCCTGCTCAGGTCGTAGCTCAGGTCCTGCAGATCTCCCCATATGAAATTGTGAAAAGAATAGTTTCTAGGGGCTGAAATCTTGTTAACCTGTTTAGTTATTTTGTATATGAAATCTCAAAAAAAGCATAGAAAGAAGAAACTAGCAGCAAACCTAAGCTTAAGATGATTTAAATCTGATCTTTTTCTTACTCATTGGTCCAAAGTTTTTCAACAAAAAGTTCAAAATGATCAATGGCTTGGAAATTAACTTCTCATCCCTGACTTCTTTAGTGTTGGAAGTGCAGATCCTTATTCCTTGTGGACAGAAAAGAGAATAGAAGTTGTAACACGTATCTTGGACAAATCTCTAATCACTGTGTGTTGTTTAAAAGAGGAAGTTTGTTTTAACATCATCCCTTTTCTCTTCCAACCCTAGCCTCTGGTCTTAGTGCACCTGAAAGGTGGAATTTATAGCTTGGTCCATTTCACAGAGTTTCTCTCTTTGCTATGTTCAGATAGCTGCACTGTATTTCATATTGGGTTAGGCAGACTACAATTTCACTTGTTAACTTTCTTCGAAGTACCTGGCTTGGATGTTGTGAAGGGATGTTGGTGACTGCTTAAACCCCTCCAGCAGATAATTGTCCAGCAATTTGTACCCTATGCAATATGTAGGAACTTAAGCTCCATCCTCACTTCAGCCCAGGACACCATTCTGGGGGACAAACATCTAAAAGTTACTTGATTTAACACCAAATTTAGATGCCTAAGTCTTTTATTGAATCTGGCCCTAGGGCATCAGATTAGAATTTTCTGTCTGCATCAATTTATATTTTTTTAGATTGACACCAACAGCAAATGAAGCCTGAATGTCATGCTTACATTTTAAATTGAATATGTTATTTGAGGTGTTAGGGGAAGGACACTTTCTTGTTGGAAATGTGCATGCTGTTTTCTATAACAAAATATAAAATATTCACCATGTTCATAAAAGAAGCTAAATTCTTTCCTTCAGAAAAGCTTTTTACCTTTGATATAAGGGGAAATTTCTTAAGTAATTCTCAGATTATCAATAGCTACCTCATCTTGACTACTATGATAGCAGCAATTAAGGTGTAACTTTATTAAATCCACACATTAAAAAGTCTCAGTGTTTGTTTCTGGTTTTATTTTATGTCCCTCCTTAGAGATGTGAGCTGTCTTAGATTACTGGTTACTATCTTATAAAACAAAATGTTTAAATTCCATGCTATCCTTAGTGTGAAATAGAAAATAATTTAAATATTTGAAAGTTGTAATTACAATTGTATTTTACTATTAGCAGTCAAGCATCAAAAAGGAACTAATGATAAATATATCATCCTATATATAGATATTCATTCTGTATTTTCAGCAGTAAATTCTTACATATAGAGAGTATACATCACGTGTGTGTATATATATATATATGTATATTCACCTTGATAAATATAGCACAAATATGGCTATATTTTTAGAAATATGAAAGATACAGAGGAAGTTGTAACATCAACAAAGATTTTCTTCTGCCTGACCTGTGCTCAAGCAAAATCAGCAGAAAAAAGCTCAAGAACATTGCTAAGTTATGCTTCTGCTCACTGTTATGATTTTAATTATTTCTCTGGAAAAAAACTTTTTTCTAGATATTGTCGGCAGTTGATCTAAAAGCGAATTTTCATTCACAGCTCTACTGCCCAGCAACTTCTTCTGTAAATATATTTGTGTGTTCATTTTCATTTTTGTATGCATTTATATGGAGAGAATGTATGCAAAATTTCTT